TATAATGTACCACGATGTGAAACCCTTTTTAGACCAAGAGCGTTAAGGCATGTCCAAAGCCAACTTTAAATTTTTATTGAAGTTTCAGCAGTTACATCAAAAGAATCCGCGATTTACATATCGTAGAGTTGATGCATGTGGCACTGCCAAAGCAAACCAGACTGGAATATAATTAGTAAATACGCAAAAGACTGGTGGAATCATACCATACGCATATTTTCGATGGAGGCGGAAATGCTGATGCCCGTGTGCTCAGATTTGGCTGCACGTTAAAGAACCCCAGGTGTTAGAAATTTCGGGAGCCCTCCACTACGGCATCTCTCAAAATCATGTTGTGGTTCTGGAACGTCAAACCCCACATATCATCTGCCATACGCATAAACATTGAAGACCGTGCAACGGGCAACTCAATTTTTACGCAGACCATTAAATATGGTGTCAGTGGTTTGAAAAATCAGGCAAGTAACTATAAAAGGGATACCAAATCGTTCAGAGAGGAAATACTATTTGTTTCAAGAGCTATTTGTGAGCGTCAAAAGATAGCGATAAATGTCGGCTTGAGTACGTGTGCAGTAAAGTGGAAGAATTGGAGAATCGCACAGAAAATACCGATTGTACAATGTAAATCGCAAGCACGCCTATAAGTACCGGAAGCATCACGTAACGCTTCTATGTAGCTCAGGATTAGGCAGGCCACAAGTAGCCTTGGAAAACTTGTCTTTACCATATACTGTTATTCTTGAGAAGGCATTCATACGACGCGCTACGTCAGTACCCAACTAGGAAGACCCCACAGGGAAGTGTTGCAGAAAAAAGGACACAAACGGCAGAATAAAAAAAGCAATCTGTGGGAGCCGGTCACACATGCCACTTTCGAGCATCTGTAATGGAAGCGTGAAGCAAATGTTGGTGTTGCTACATGAGTTCTTTTATTTATTGATGACGTTGCACATGACTTGGCTGTGCGCCCGGCTACAAAGCTTGCCTGTGGTAAGGAAATTAATCTCTAGCAAGGTCACAGAGTTGAGGTGATGTTGCTTTGTTATTAGTTCCCATGCGCAAATGCACTTTACGTTATACTGCACTTCCTCGATTGCGCCTCACCGATGTTGAACCCTTAAGACTAAACCAGTCACAGAGATTGCGCTTCACACACTCATTAAGGAGTTCCAATAGGAAGCTCAACGTCACAGCATCATTGCGAAGAAATCCTTACCAGCAAGAAAGAAATCGTATTCACATTGAACACAAAGTCCTCGTTGAATCATGATATACATTGCAACTCATTGTTCAGATGGGGAAAACTGCAGGAAGTAAAATATTAGCGCACAAACAAATAAGTTAGCGTAGATAAGCTATAGTTTCGTGTCACTGTGTGAATCAATGATTAACCTTTTCGATAACTGCGATTGTCAAATCACCTTACGCGCTTAACACGACTAACTTGAAAGTGATAACGCGCATAAATTTTTAAAAACAGTGCATTTCAAACTTTTAACTTAACATTTCAACTTTTAAGAACAGTACACCTCAAAAACGAAGTGAACGCAAAGAAATAAGTATTCGCCTGCCCTATCGTTTGTACCATTTCTTGATCATGCCGAATTTTCACCGCCTGTGGAATATAAAGATTTCGCTTTATTAGATTTTTTTATTGCAACCAATTTTTGAACACCAATTTTTTTGTTCGGGCACATACGGGTAAACTAAGGCAACTGCTGTTGTTTATTTCTTATTCAGAAGTTACGTATCTACGAGTATGCATTACTGTTGTTGTTTTGAGGCAAAACATGCCTTGTAAGGAAGCACTTGCATATGTAGATCTTATAAAATGGGACACTCACGTTCGGAGAGAGGAGAGAGAAATATGTATTATAGAAGCCTGGAGAGAAAAAGAGAGAAACAAGACACATTTCAGCACACACACACACACACACACATATATATATATATATATATATATATATATATATATATATATATATAATATATATATATATATATATATATAATATATATATATATATATATATATATATATATATATATATATATATATATATATATATATATATATATAGTGGGAGTAATAATTCAATGGGCCAGTTAGTCTTTGTGAAGGTATAGGATATGGCACAACGGGAGCGTTGTCAACAAGGATAAATATATTTATCCCTGTTGACAACGCTCCCGTTGTGCCATATCCCATATATATATATATACATAGAACAGTCGCTCAATTCTATTGCCTTCAAGTACGGCAGGAGGGCTCATGTGACTTTCTGGGCTGATTGATCGGAGATTAGGCTCCTAAAATCGTTCCTTCACAAAAAGACCGACCATATATTATCCCGGCGATATTGTTCCAGTTGAGGACAGTGATAGAAAAGTCAATTTAAAGCATCTACACATTCACAATTGTAGCACATGGATCACTTTGCTATACCCTTGTGATAGCTGAATGAGTTGAAAAACGCTGTACGAGAATTTGGTCACATCTCGCATATTCATATAATCCTGTGCTTGCTAATTTTCATTGTCCACTAAACTCCAATCGTCATTCATAAAACCTCGATTCGTTGCCGCAACAACAAAAACCTCCAAGATATCTCAGCGTGACGCTACAGTGCTCTGTCAGCTGTGAGATCGTGTGAAGTGAAAAACCTTTTTTTAGTCATCAAAATTAAGGAATAGGATATGTGCGTAATTTGGAGAGAAAACTTATATTGCCGAAGTGGTATATAGTAAAAGCGGTAGAGGCTATGTCATCATATGGTTCTGGTATAACGAAATAACTTCAGGCATGACTCGCACGGCAATACTGATTTCAAGCTTAAGTAGCAGACACTTGGCTCCCAGTAGGAATCTGAATACAGCAAACAGGTAGGCAAACAATTGTAGCTGTATTTCTTTCTATACTACAGAGCTTTCAAGGCTCATTTATAGGTTATTTGCTAAAATATGTGGTGGTTTTTTCTCTTAGAGCATTTTCTTTTTTATCTCCGTCTACATACCTGATAGGGGGTATCTCGATGTAGCTTGCATCAGGTCGTATTATAATCTAGTTACAATACATGTATCTAATAGAAGCTTCATATAGTCGTTAAAAACGAAATAAATACATACTGACTAACACACTCTCCTACGAAGTTGATGGTTAAAAAATTATTCCAGTAACAAAAATAGAAGCGAACGTTCTCATTTATTTATTTCTCTGTTGGATACTACGCAATTTATTAGTTAGCTAAGTTTTTAGCATTAAAAATGTTCACAAATAGAGACATCTTCGCTAAACGTGAAATCTCAATTTTCAGGAACGTCAAAATCGGTCCTGTGTTTAGTGTGCGCATTGCGCATGCTGATTGGGCCCGACCAAGGTAGAAGGTATTCAGAGAGGCGCTTATGAAAGTTTTTTTACACAGTTACATGAAAACAACTGGATGTAGTTTAAGAATCACCAAAGAGCTATTGTTGGCATAATTCATAATTGTTGCTCTAATGTTGTAATTGCTATGCGCACATTCATGGTATTAGACAAATTTGTAGTGGCTATTCTAAAGAAATTGCACTGCGTAGTGATTCCATGAAAGCTGCAAACAATTTAATGTTCAGTGAATAAAAGTACGTTTCTCCTCTGACTGAAGCATGTTTTCGAAGCTTCACCCATTGCTTTCTACATACTTTTCAATGCCTAAATCTCATCACAAGTGAAAATAATAATTAAATCTAATGTGGCTAAACTTCATACAGCCATGCTGTTTTTAAGAGTAAAATTGTCTTCAGTGCTATGTGTACAGACTACAATCCTATATACAACGTCTGGGAACAATCTCACAATCAACGGCTTACTTAAAATTGCTATTCGTTCCGCGTTGGTCTAGCGGCTGAGGTACTCGGCTGCTGACCCAGAGGTTGCGGGATTGTATCCCGGCGGCGGCAGCTGCATTTTAGATGGAGGCGGAAATGTAGTAGACCCGTGTGTACTGGTTTGGGTGCAAGTTAAGGGACCCCAGGTATTCCGGAGCGATTTACTACGGTGTCTCTCATAATCATAGGGTGTTTTTGGGACGTTTGACCCCACATATCAATATCAATACGTTCCTATACTTTTATACTATTTTTGGTCCTTATTTCTAGACGCCCTTGCAGCCTCGTTTCCGGGATTGGCCTTTCAAGTAGCGAGAAAAAAATTGTAAAAGAAAGAGAAAACCAACGACCAGTAGAAATTTCAGCCGCCGTACCACAGTTCATCCACCACTCATATCAGAGCAAACTTAAAAAGATTTCGTTGTGCTACTTGTGTAATGAATGCATCAGCACCTCCGTTTAGCCTCTAATTGCTATATGAAAGAATATTACCAATAACAATTGGAGGAAACATTCACAGTGACCAATATTTTAAGGAATGTTCAAGCAAATAATTCGAAATACGAGCAGTACTGTTACCTATATTGAGACAACAATAAGTGAGTTTTATGGTCTGCATTATAAAATACATCGTAAGCGCAATTTCTGATTGCTCTTTTCATGGTTGTCGCTAACAGAGTGCTCACGTGGATCCAAACCGGACGGTGTTGAGCTGCTAGATAGCGACTGCCTTCCTCTTCCTGCGCTTCCATATGACCGGTGGAGGAAGCTGCGAGTGCACTTATCACTATGAGCCACAGCCAGACATCTTTGTCTGTAGGCACCATACGATGTCGCCTATACAACCGGTCTCGCTGAGCAGGCAGCAAAAGGCTTCTAACGTCCGCTTTCCTGCGGGATATTTTCTTCCTTTTTGTGTGCACTTTTTCGACAAGATCGAGAAGTTTCCGTAGTCTAGGACACACCTTAGACGTGGCGAAATCTTCGGACACCTATGATTGCGCATGTCTCTGTGAAATGCATGTGCGCACCACACGAGTATGATATTACAGCAGGGGAAAGAGTGGTTTGAGCCCCGTGTGGTACGGGAAGAAGAGAAAGAGGCGGGCTTAGGAAGACAAAGGGTACACGTGGGCATAAGGCTACCTGGCACGCCTTCTACTGCAGTGCCCAAAAAGGAAGGCGTATGCATATAAAATCTGTCCTCATCGGCTCTACAGTCACCAGTCGTCACCAGTTCTCCCAGAGCCATCACCGCCATGAAGCCCCTGGTGAGTGCAATGCTTTTTTTATGCGAGATTTTGCTCAAAGTGTAGGTTTTTTTCTTCACTTAAAACATATTTGTTGTTTGTAAATATGAGCAAGGGAGAGCCTTCATTTAAAGAGGCTGCGAGCGAGAGGTGTTTCTACAAACGTAGCTTCTAGCATCTCTGCTAGAAACCATGTTTGGCAGAAACTTGCTTGGAGTCAGATGCCACTGATTTTAAATCGACGTATCGCATGTTATTTATTATTCAAGAAATACAGTTAGAAGCTTGAAAGTCATAGGTTTGTATCTTAGTGGACAATGAACAGCGAAAAATGAATTCATTTTTTATGGATTTGTGTGTATGAATATTGAGTCTGTAATCTCAATGTACATCATTATTACCCAGCTTTCTCTGCTTTTGTTCATACGTAGAGATTTCAATAGAACGGTATTAGAGTAAAAAAATGTGCCTCATGCGCCACGGGTTATTCTTTGTTTCTATCTTTAGAATGATGCGTCTTCTTGAGGCAATGAATCTTCCCGAACGTCATTGCTTCAAAAACATGCCAATGAAATAAGATGGTCTGCGAAACTTTGAGCAACGTAGAAATGGAAAGGCGCTTTATCTAAAAATACATCCTCAATACTTTGATAATGATATTCAGCTGATAATGTGTACTTTGTGCCCCCGTAGATGAAAAAGTTTTATTTAAATATACAATACATAATGATGCATCCATTTACACATATTTAAAATATAAGAGTATTTTCTTGAACTTTCAAAGTAGAGCACAATAATTTTTTATCCATCTATTCATTCGATGTAGAGCTGATATTCTGCAATCCTATTTGTGTTTATAAAATACAGCACGTGTGCAACATGCTTTTTTTGTCAGTTTTGGGAAAATCTTTGTGCTTTACATGCATCTTTAAAGCAATCGTTCTACATACTACGTGAATACGGACGTTATACCTTACGTGCGTGTACTGAATCTCTATACAGTGTGCTGTCGCCCTGCTGACGCTTTGCGCCATCGCCTCTGCCACTGGCAAGAAGAAAGAGAAGGTTGAGGCCCGCGGTGCTGTTCTCGGAGGTGGGCTGGGTGGCTGCTGCCCCTGCACTGGAGGTTTTGGAGTCGGTGGTGTGGGCCTAGGAGGTGGACTCGGTGGCGGACTTGGTGGAGGCAGCCGCTACAGCAGCGGTAGCTACAGCTCAGGCTCAGGCTACGGATCTGGCGTTGGCGCAGGTGCTGGACTTGCCTCCGGTGCTGCCCTTGGCTCAGGTGCTGGACTTGCCTCCGGTGCTGCCCTTGGCTCAGGTGCCGGACTTGCTTCCGGTGCTGCCCTTGGCTCAGGTGCCGGACTAGCCTCCGGTGCTGCCCTTGGCTCAGGTGCCGGACTTGCCTCTGGTGCCGCACTAGGCTCAGGTGCCGGACTTGCCTCCGGCTCCGCTGTAGGCTCAGGTGCAGGACTTGCTTCTGGTGCTGCACTTGGTGCCGGTGCCGGTGTTGGCTCTGGCGCGGCACTAGCCTCAGGGGCAGGACTTGGCTCTGGCGCTGCGCTCGCCTCAGGCGGTGGACTCGGTGTTGGGGCTGCCGGCGCTGGTCTCGGAGTCGGAGGAGCTGGCGTTGGACTGGCAAGTCCTGGTGTAGGCCTTGGCGTTGGTGGTGTTGGTCTCGGAGGTGGTTATGGATCATCTTCCGGCTACTCTGGTTTCAAGCAAGGCTCTGGATTCAACAACCAGGCAGGAGCGAACAAGGCTGGTCAGGGAAGCTTCGCATACAACGTTGGTGGCTCAGACAGCAACAAGTATGGCCACAGTTCCTCTTACGGAGATTCCAAGAGCTTTGGCTCAAGCGCTAGTGAGGGCTTCAACCGTGCTTCTGGCCAAGGAAGCCATGGTAGCTCTTTCAACAAGGCTGCCGCTGGATCCGGAGCCCAGAGTTCGAGCTCTGGCAGCAAAGTTGTTGCCTCTGGTTAAGTACTACAAGGGACTCCTGTGGTTCTTGTGTAAGTAGTGCTCTGTTCGGAGATATTTTTCTTATTTTGGCCGTACGAAAAGTGTGTATGTCACTGTCTCATGCTGGAGCATCACACACGAGAAAGGTTACTGATCGAGAAAAGAACTAAAGCTTTGCTTAGCGGAAACAACTTTGGTCTGTGGCGGGAGAGAAAAAAAACTTCTCATGAGGTCGCCAGTGTTTATCAAAAGTCTTATGAGGAATAATTTAGGATTTCTATGTTTGCAGGGAAATGCCTAATTGAAGTGCTAAGTAGTGTAACTTTTGTGCAAAAAATCTACGTTCATTGCCTTGTATTCGGCATCTAGCACTTTAAAACCTTTTGATTGCTTTCTAAATAGCTACATATAGGTGAATGGAAGAAGAGAGGCTTTCAATATGTTATTCTTTTTGTACTTTTTAGGCCTAATCGAACTTATTTGGTGATTTACCCGGCATACTACTGTTTTTGTATCTTTACAGGCCCCTCCTTTACACTCAGATGGTTGCTGAACGGCTAGAGAACAACGGCTTCAAAATGTTACGTTTAGATGTCCGTGAAGTGATATTGTGTGCCCCATAATCATGCCTAGTTTTTAGTAAATAAATTGTTTTGCTAGTCTGATAAAATGTTTTCCTACACCAATAAACAGCTATGTTACTATAAAAGAAAAGTTGTCTTTTGTGTATCTGAATGCGACACGCATGCCCCACCGTGGTGGTCTAGTGGCTAAGGTACTCGGCTGCTGACCCGCAGGTCCCAGGATCGAATATCGGCTGCGGTGGCTGCATTTCCGATGGAGGCGGAAATGCTGTAGGCCCGTGTGCTCAGATTTGGGTGCACGTTAAAGAACACCAGGTGGTCAAATTTCCGGAGCCCTCCACTACGGCGTCTCTCATAAGCATATGGTGGTTTTGGGACATTAAATCTCACATATCATTCAATCAATGCGACATGCATGCGCTATCCTCGTGGTGTGAACTCGAGTGAAAGGCCACCTAAAAAAAAACAAGCGCCGTAGTAATGGTGAAAACAATTACAGAAAATTTGGTCCCACTGTCTAGAAAACTACTTTAAGTTTTCGGGAAAGGTCAATATGATTCAGCAAGGACATTTTGGTAATTCCAATACGCGGATGCTATATATCTTCTGATGCATGTAAGCTACCCAAGCTGAAAACAAACGATACTATGCTGCAAGATAATTACAGCTTAAAATACGAGTACAGGCATCGCTGAAGAAAATCTTAAATTGAGACAGTGAATAGTGTTAACGACAAATGAAAACGAAAATCGTCATAAAGGAATGTCTTATATTTCAATTTTTATTGGTGCGAGTATTGTAATAGTCTTCAAGATCCCTGGACTATTAGACTGTCATGCAGGAGAAAAGACGGCACGTCCTAAACAAACGTCTTTAATGAGACGAAATAGATAAGTAAAGGACTGACAACTTCGAGTCTTTGAGTGAGCGGCAGCAAGTGAGGAGCAATGAGGATGATGATGAAAGCCGTCTGCCAGGCTGATAAGGAGGAAGTTCAAACAAGTATCATAGAGAAACTGTGCGCTGCAACTCAGTATTTTACATTATTCTTAAGAAGTTATTTACTTCAAAGAAGTAAATTGTACGGTTTGACGTTCATGGTGATTGAAAAAGAACATTACTTCGTGAACCGCTGGTGGAAAATTGTGTTTTCCTTGGTGTTTTTGTGAGAAACGTTTAATAGATTACAAGCTGCACATAAATGAATTTACAGTAATGTATTAAACAAAATACTGCAAGGTCGCAATTAAAATTTTGTGCGCTATTGCATAAGTACACGCTCATAGTTTCTTCAAGGCCTTTTTATCCCGTATGTCCCCATCCCCTTCTTTTTGGTATACTGCGTGTTTCAAGAAATGTGTCTAAAATCACCAGAAATTATGAAGATGTGATCTTTCGTCAATGCTGTCTCAGTTACTTCGTCTGTAGCAGCGGGCAACTTAAAATGGTCGAAAACATCAATTCCGACTGTATTAAAAAGTAATTTATCGCATTTGTAGTGTGTGAACTTAAGCGACTATGCCACAATGAAGTAATGAAACTCTTCGCGCGAACAAATCATTGCAGCTTGGACACTTTGAAGAAGCGGCCATGGACAAGTGATAATTTCGAAGTAAGAAATTCTGCCGAATGCAGCTCTGATACCGACCTCAACAAGAAAGAGTGCGAACTGGTGCCATGCTATTTAGAGACGTCCAGCGTAAAGGAGCGTAATTAAAAGAACCATAAACCGACTCCCTAGGGTTCACAAGAGTGGAAACTTGGGCTAGTTGGTGCGTAGTCATATTGCAAGATGTTTCAGCGCGCGAACAATGGAAAAAGGACAGGGTAGACAGAAAGAGCGCTGACTTCCAACTAACTTTATTTGACAGAGTGCCAAGAATATATACTGCCAAAAAGGATGATACCAGAGCATGAAGGTAAAGGCACGCCTAATCTACACATCAGTAACAAACACGTGTGACAGGTCCTCTATTGCCTCAAAGCCCAGCTAGGTAATCACGTTCAGCCTGTGATAGCTTTATCACAGCCATCGATCGATGGCTGTGATAGCTTGTGTGATAGCCTGTGATAGCTTTATCACAGAATCGTTCAGCCATCGATTGCTTTATCACAGGCTGAACGTGATTACCTAGCTGGGCTTTGAGGCAATAGAGGACCTGTCACACGTGTTTGTTACTGATGTGTAGATTAGGCGTGCCTTTACCTTCATGCTCTGGTATCATCCTTTTTGGCAGTATATATTCTTGGCACTCTGTCAAATAAAGTTAGTTGGAAGTCAGCGCTCTTTCTGTCTACCCTGTCCTTTTTCCATTGTTCGCGCGCTGAAACATCTTGCAATATCCCTAGGGTTGTCGCTTATACGAGTTCGCTCTTGCTTACAAGAGGGAATAACAGCGCCAACTTCAAACAACACAGAAGATGACGGTGGTGTCGCATATTGACGAGATACAGCACCATCATATGTTATTTTTTTCCATTTTTAGACTACCCAGGTATATATGTGCCCACATTTCAAAAAATCAAGTCAGTTGTAAGTCAACGCTTTGGTCGTGCCTTCTTCATTTTGTGTCTTGTCTGAATATTCCGCTGTTATTCCCTCTTGCAAATGACTTCGTTGTGAGGATGTCCGTCTTCACAGCAATTATAGCATTTAAGGAACACATGTTAATGAGCGCACAATAATCACAACTCTGTTAATTTTGTCTTGAACACATCATTTTGGTTGTCTGCTTGTTACACTCATAGGTGTTTCGGTTTCAGTTTCATCGTTGAATTTAGCTGTACTTCATAATGCTAAGCTATCGCTAGAGGCCACTCTTTAGAAATATGACACCTTCCCGTGATGAACTTCAGTTCACCCATTTGACCTAATTACCTTACCACCGCCATCGAACAATTATTTATTCATCTTTCTTAACGACTGTAACAGATGATGTTGTTAACCATCATAAGGAGGCTGTCGCTACAGAAATACCAGTTGGGAAGGCAGCGAGACTGAAGATCTTAACCATCAAAAACAGCTCTCGCTAAAAAAAATCAGTTGTGGAGGCAGCCAGAAAACATAACATTTTTTTTTCATTGTTGAGACAGCGGACACATTCAACCTGGCACTTTTTCCCCTCCTGAGTATGCACCAACATGCCTTGCTGTAATCGCAAAGTTATATCTCCCTCACTCTCTATCGAAACGTGTTTTCTCTTGTTGTAGAAATCAGATAAATACTAAAAAGTGTTGGAGTGCACTTAACTGTGCTGGGTGCATACATGGTTGAAACGTGAACAAGTTGCGCTGGGAAAGAGACAGTGACAAATTGACAAACAAAAACGCGCACTCAGTTAAGCACTTCTGTCTGCCAATCTCTCACTATCCTATGTCCAGCGTTGTTTATTTACGTCTTTAAACAAGTGTGAGTGCGGCAGGATACGAAGAAAACAAATGAAAGCAAGACAAATTTTCTTGAAAGAAGAACCACAGCATTTGTCATAGCAAGCCAACATGCATTTGGAATAAAAAGCGCTAGAGCCATGATATACAAATATTTATAACTCAATATGTGGTAAAGAAAAGAAAACCTTTTTCTATAATTTCAATCTGCATAGACCTTTTTCAAAAGATCCCGATACTTCACCAATATTAACATCGACTCTAAGTAATATATCTCATTCATTTTCTTGAAGCTATCTTATTTCACAGATGTAGTGTACAGATTGCGAATCAAGAAAAAATTTATCCAGTTTCCATTGCAGTAAAAGCTCCTTAATTGACACTCGAAGCGGGTTTTGTAATTATTCAAATTGAGCTGTGTAAATTGAGCCTTAGTAGGTTGGCACTAGAACGGATGGACAACGCCCCAGACTGCGCGGGTAGAAACAAAGAAGGTTCTTCTGGACTCGTTATCACAAACTATATGCTAGGGGTGCTATTCAGGATGGCCCAAGCTTCTCGGGCACTCGAGTTTGCTCTGAGCTCGCTTGCGGTGGCCGTGGCATGAAGATAGTGCGGAGCGCTTGATAGCAGCGTTAATAAAAATGGTTGGATGAACGCGCGGGGCGTTGCAAACGCATGTGTGACATTTGCGGCGGTTATCAAAGAAACACCGTATGTGAGCACGTCAACGCCGCCACTCGCTCAACATTTTAGCATTGCAGTGACGTAAGCGTGATTGTCGATCTGTCTTTTTGCCACTGAACACGCGACTCCCACAGGCGAGTTCGTGGGCATATCTCCTTTTTCGCACAGATTCTGTCGTTCCACATGCAGCATGAAAATTTCCCCTTTTCAATGCAGCAAGGGTGCACACGCAGCACTCTCATGTTGCTCGTTTCGCTTCTATCAAGTATTGCAGATGAAGGTAAGGACAGGTGGTCACCAGGGGCGCTCGCATCTTGTCGGCAACGCGGCTGTGATTGAATAAGCTGTGAGTGCGGTGAAATTGAATGCAAAACACCTTAGCCGCGTGATGATATCACTTTTACTTCTGCGCACGTGTGTGCATAGTCTGCGCGATAAAGCTGATAGATTAATCGTGCCGCTCCACGTGAGTACTGCTCCTCGGCTTGAGCAGACGTGGTGGGCGTACCCAATCTTCCCCACGTGCGTCAGTCAATCAAACTGATGGACGCGTGAGCTCGACTACAAACTAGTTGATTCTGAGCAGGCCAGAGTTCTACTCGGGACTGTGATGGTGCTGGTGTGACTGTAAAGCGTTTGATGCGGTGAAAGGTAAGCGGCAGCTTATTTGCATATAAAATAACTTGCTGAGCCTCACTACTTCTGCAAAACTGAAGACATAGAGGAGTTTGCGATAACCTAGCTTCTCGGTGAAGACCACATCAGTTCTGTCTTAATTTTCATTGTACCAATTGCCTGAGGCTTAACTACCAATATACTAAGCTGTTTCCTCTTCATTGATAAGGCTTTAATTAGAAGGCAATTATCTCGGGCGTAATTGCCAACGCCACGATCAGTATCGAGCTATTAAACGTAATCCTTGTTTACTGGATGGTAATTGTCATTATATTTGCAAGGGCTAAGTAACATATTTATACTTAGCGTCCTCATGAATAACGTTGCGTTAATTAGTATAGTTTAGTTAGCTAATCAACTAGCATACTTTAGTTTGCCCAG